GCTATTTGTGTTCAGGGTTGGTTTATAGGCAGGGCCAGGATGACCCTGGAGGTGGGTTAAAGCCCTAAGAGAACCATTTTCTTCTCACACTGCACAAAGAGGCACTAGGCAACTACTACTTGAGGGTTTTTGTGAGTTGGTGTTGTCCCCCTGGACCCTCTAATGGCCTCAGAGTGGTGGGCATATTGGACCTGGCACCACAGTGGACATAAGGCAGCAGATGGTAGGAAATAAGCAGGTATTTTCCCAACTGGCAAGCCTACAGAAGCCTTGTCTTGATCGTGTATTCAGATGTGTGCGCAAACACATTAAAGCATGCAGATATATGCACCCTTACTGTTGCTCTCTCCAACACCAATCTTTCAGGGACACTCCAAGTCCTACTCTTACAACAAATGCTTCTTCACCTAGTGGTTCTTGAGGAAACTGTAGCCTCAGTGTGAATTACTAAAAGGCTCAGAAACCCAGAGGGCACAGAAGAGTTATTAGTTTTCAGGTGTTATAATTTCTAAATAGCTTTGAGGTAATTTTTTTTTCCTCAGTTTTTAAGGGCTTAATGCAAGAAATATTCAGTATAAGATGTAATAATCAGCCCAAATCAAGTGACAACCACTGCACAGAAATGAGCAATTAAGTCATTAGTAGATTAGGACATGAGCTTGTATTTTTAGCATCATTTTCTTGTGTCTTGTGACAGGAACAGACTTTTTCTTTGCATAACAAATATATAGTAATTTGGTCTAGACTCTTTTATTCTAAGCCATAGCCAGACAGGAAGGAAAAACAAAACTTCTCCAGGAAAGGGCCTGCTGTGCATCCTCATTTTCTGTGGGCTCTTCAAAGGAACAGAGTAGGGGCAATAAGCAGGCCTTGAACCAGCACCTGCTCTGGAAACATCTCAAATGGGCCTCACAAGGTTAGAAGGTTAATTTAAATTCTAATCCCATACTTGGTGTTGGGATAGTTATTTACTGTTTCATACAACAGGCTTCTCAAACTCCCTGGAGATCAGGTGCTGAAAAGTGTGTCCACAATTTGCTCCGGTCATTTTGTAGATGGGGTCTTTTATGGGCTGATGAATCCTATTTCTAATGATGGTGAAATTATCACAAAATCACAGAATTGTCTTGGTTGGAAAAGACCTTGAAGCTCCTCCAGTCCAACCATGAACCTCACACTGACTGTTCCCAACTCCACCAGATCGTTAAGCACTATTAGCAAAAGAGGGTTTTTTTTGCAGTACTTGCTTTCCTGTTGAGAGTGTAAAAACACACGGGCAGATTGTACAAATGTGGAAACACTAGTTTTTGTCAGTCTGAACCTGCTGGTTCAATTGTTTTAATGTTTTCTAGGCTAGAGAGGGAGAAGGATCAGGTGAAATAGGTTTTCTTCTCTGCTTTGACATTAGCTCTTTGCTGCAGTTTCCCCTCTCTGCTGCCTTTAGCTGTCAGGTAAAATGGGGGGAAGGTAAACCATGACATGACAAGAGAATATTTTTGAAATCTGGGCAGCCTCTGTGGGAGTTGGCCTGGCAGGTCTGTTCCCTTCTTCTCAGATCTCCTAACCAAGATGCAAGTTGTGGCGGGATAGCATGGGGTGGGAAGTGGCAGAGAGAAATAGCTCTCAGTGAGTGCAGAGGCATTGTGGCAGGCAGTAAAAGGGAGTCAGAAAGGTGCCCTCAGAACAGGTCAGGTCTTGCTGTAGGAAGGACCTTAGACGTACCTAGAGAGCAGGTGGGCTCACTGGGGCGTGCAGCAGCGGTGGTGCTGATCACAGGGCATGCTGCGTATAGTTTTATCATGCTGTCCACATCACACCCCCAGCTAAAATTCCTATTCTGAGTTAAACTAAAAACCATTTGCAGTTTAGTCGTTTCAGATGTTTTCAATTTGTTGATCCCTAAAAATTTGCTAGTGGAAGAGTATAGCTTGGGGCTTCCAGACTTATGGCATGTCTTCTCACTTCTGTTTCCCCAAGGTAATGAGAAACTTACCCTGGAGTAGGTGTCACAGAGCAGAGATGGTCACTCAAGGAAGCAAGTGATCTGCTAAAAGTCTGTGACTTATTAAGGGCTTAATGGCAGCTACCTCATACCACTTTCTCCTCTGTGTATTCTCCTACATATTTGGAGGGTTCTTTCTGGCAAAGTGGTGCACAGATCTTACAAAAGGTCAAAGGAAATCAGTGTTCATAGTACAGGCTGCAGTCAAGCAGAGGATGAGCAGGAAGGGAAGCAGTCACTGTAAGCCCACTGCTCCCTACCTCACTTGGATAAGAAATGGTGGGCAGCTAGGTGCAGGGAGAACATCAGTGCAACCACAGCCTCAGACCTTCAGGCCTTGGAGCTCAACTTCCTGTTTTTTCTAAGCGAAATGTTTCCTAAGGATGTTGGAGAGACCGACACTATGGTTCTTACTTGCCTCCAACACAACAGCAGCACTTTAGTTCTTCATTTTGCACTTTCCTTTGTGTGTGTGTGTGTGTGTGTGTGTGAAAAGGAGGTTTAATCACATTTTCCATTCTTTCTAAAGCATTTTGAAAGCCTCAGGGAAAAGTGCTAGGCAGGAGCACTACCATTACAGATAAGCTCCTAGATTATACACAGCTAGAGATGACAAAAATAGCACACAGCAAGGACTGGGGTAAAGAATGGTCAGGGAAAGACAGGGAAGTCCCTGGGGTTTAATGGCTGAGTAGGAAGAGATGTTGAGAGCACTAATCACCCATAGTAATTAACTCCTAAGAAGTTCAAAAGGATCATTACAGAACTTGCAAGGTATAACAAACAAGATGTAATTATGAAGTAGGATGATTCACTCTTAAAAATGATTATTAATCATGCTATGAACTGTGATGAGGATAAGCAGATATAAAGTATTAATTGCTATGTGATGGTTAATTAATATATCCTCAGGTTTTGATAGTCCTAATTAAAAAAAAATTATGTTCACTTCAGCAAGATTAATTCCAGGATAAGATACTACTGAGTATGAGCAAAGGCATTAAAAATCTGCCTGCCAAAAGCATGTTAGTTAGTTCTGGTCCTGGATGAATTTGATCAGTGGAAGCTGATGATATTCATCTGAGAGAGCTTAGCATGAAAATGCTGTTTGTAGGTGACCTGGTTTCGTAGCCTGCTGATAGTCTGATGCTGCTGAAGGGAACAGAAGTGTTTCTGTTGTCTACAATATGAAGGACTGGAGTCTTGAGATCAGCAATTCAAAATGAAGGAACACCAGTTTATATATTGCTGTACTCCAGAAACATCTTATCTCAATATTCCTTTCTACCTGTAAAGCTCTTCTTACAAAGTTTGTAGCAATAACTGGGGTTTTTTAGTATAGTTGGTACTGAGAATGTCCAGTAAGGAAGCAATGCTCGGTACAATGGAGGCTGAGTAGTCTGCCTTGGCTCCGTTCTGTAGTGTGACACACGCAGTCATCCTTCTCTTCCCTGCTTTAAATCCTGTCCTGGACAGTGCAAAACTAAATGCATTTCCCTACGCAGGACAGAGCTATGACAAAACACGAGCCACGGGAGACAAATTCTGTCTGCAGACTTGAGCAGAGCAGGTCACTGTAAAGACTGGCTTTTAGAGTAACGTGATCTTATTTCTACAGTGTCGTTTGGAAGTGCTGCAGTTTCATGTGTATCACTAGGAGGTTATTGGTGATGAAATCCCCCTAGTGTAGCAGCAGTGCATGCTACATACATGAGGCAGTACGATAGGAAGTTTATTCCTGGAGTGCCTCTGCCTATAGCTCTCCTCCACCCCTCAAGCTCCTCACATGCCATTTTTTTCTCTCTCTGCCCAGATCTCTTTTGTGCTCACTTCTAATAACATGAGGATCATTCTAGCGTTGAATGGAGTCTGACTTATAAGTACCCGAACTTTTGAAGAGGCATTGTCTGAAATACGGGCTTTGCAGCTGAAATACGGTGTAGAAAGCTCAGAATCAGGTTAGTTTTGAACAATACTGAGTTGGCAGTAGTGTCAGCTTTAGCTGGCTTGCCCAGAAGTTCTCAGATTTGTGCTTTCATCTTGGTACCCATTTCAAACAGTCTCCCTCTGCATTACATACAAGAAAACAACCATATCATTTGATTCCAAGTTTATCGTAATTTTATTAAAATTTTAAACCTTTTGTTAATAGAATTTATCAATTTTTAAAATATAAGACACATATACATAGTTCTCTAGGGCGGGGAGTTCCTATGAGTTTGTGAAATACAGATTCCAGACATGGTCTGTTCTTAGTTACTCAGAGAAAAGCAAAGGCAAAAGTAAAACAATTGTTTCAGGTTTGTCTCATGTGAGGGTGAAACTGAAGTAACTTCACAGAAGTTGGAGGGTAGGATGTCTTCCGCAGTACAAGTTGAATAGGGAGGGTTACATTCACAGAGTTACACTGAATTACTCCAGATCATCCCTTGGCGAGAGTATCCATACACCATCATGGACTGAGCTAATAGTGCAGTACTGTATATATCAAAATAAAAGGCCCAAGGATGATCTTCGAAATATTGCACTGATCAGATGATAGCCCGAAGCATGAAATTAGTTAATTTATAGATTATATAGGCATGAGTAACCATGAAATTATATAGCACCTTCTCAAACCCAGCACTTGGTGCAGAACATTCTGGCCCACATCAGGATGGAGGTCTGCACTCATCTGGCTCTGTGGGAGGTCATCTTCTTTCCTATGGTATGTGAAACTATCTGCCAGTCACCCTTAAAATGCCACACTGCTCAGGACAGCAAGGATGAGAAGACCTACATTCAGTTGTAAATAAATACTAGCAAGCATTTCAGAAAATCAACAGTGAAATAGAGTCCAGCTATAGACCAAAGAAGTCAGCAGATGTTCAACCAGTGATGAACCGATTCTGGTGAGTTTGTGTTTATTCAGAGATTTTATTGCCATTATGAAGTAGAAATTAAAAGCAGATACTAAGGCTTTCTTCCCTGTTACATGTAGCACTGATGATGATTCCATTTAGTTGCCTTTGGTGGCACGTTTTTGGTCTATTTTCTTTATAGCAGTCTGCACCCATTCCTGATTAGAGCTTACACAGACCTTGATACCTCTTGTGGTCATAAATCTGTAGGAAGAAAGAAAGCAAACCAGATGGCCATTAAATCCCAGTCTCCAAACCCAGGTTTACTGTTGTTGTTTTTTATGCAGAACATGAGGAGCAATGTGGTAAAACCATATCATATGCCAGGGTTTGTAGTTGTTAGTTGGAATAACAACAGTTAGCAACATTTGTCCTCTATTTAAGGCATAGGTATGTATGTAATGTACATGGTCATGTGCATATATACTGACATTTGAAATTTTGAGATTTTTTATGAAATCCTGATGCACCTTTTTCTCCCAGGAGCAGATCCCACATGCTTGTGAGATCAAAAGACTGAACACAGCTCCTAGTAGGAGCCAGAGTTACCCCAAACTCCTCCACATGATCTTTCCCCTTGGCTCAGTTCAGTGCACTGGCCTTCTGACTGCTTGAAGTGCTGGGGTTTCAATCCTGAGCTGGGCTCCAGTCAGGCCTGGCTTTTGTAAACGTGGGCTGTGTAGAGATTCAGTCTGTGGCTTCCTTGGTCTTATATGTTTGGCTTGTTGACTTGGTTGTCTCCCATCCCTTCTATGGGAAACTGCATTTCACTATTTATTCCACCTGTTGTTGGTTATGTGGTGTTGTTGTTGGGGTTATTGGGATTGATATCGATTATGTATAATCTGACTTGTTTGTATCCCCAGAGCTCACCCATGTACTGACCCTTTTGTATCAAATACAGTTTGGTTATTGCTTCACCTTTATGCTGGCTGTGTCCTTTATGCTAGGCCTAATAATTGGCAAAACACTGCTCCACCTTGACCCTCTCACTGAGATTTTTCCCCAATTTCTGGACATAAAAGATCTGGTTGCTCAGTGAGATTTCTGCTAGTGTTTGTGAGCAACATACATCTCCCAGCTTTCTCCCTTCAGCTGCCAGGTGACTGCTTCATGAGGGAACTGGATGAGTGACATGAACTGTCCAGATGTAGTGAGTTGGGCCACAATTATCCCCTTTCCCTTTTCAGTAGTAGCATGTTTGCACAGATGAATCTGAAGGTGAACTGTGCATCGGATACTTACATGACAGCGTTTACTGGACCTTGCCTCTTTTCATAGCTGACAAGATTTCGGATGTTCAGTTGCTGTGTAGGCAGACTTACACATTTTAATCTGCGCATGGACTGACTTCCAATGCTCCCTAGAAGGGGAAAAAAGATAAATTACAAAGGCAGTCAATACTATATTCATATTTAGCCATAATTACTTAATAAATTATGAATTCCAGCAGATTTCCAGCTATGGTTAGAACATGAGTGTCTCATGATGTACAGCCACAATACCAGTTATACAAGAAAGCTTGAGGATACATCCTGCCATCTCTAAAGTGTTATTGCTATTTCAGTTAAGATATTAATCTTCACCCATTCTCCTGAACAATTGTACAATCATTCTGCTTCTAGGGGGTCACTACTTCCATAGCAGAAAAGGTATTTGGCGTCATTCATAATTAGGTCTATATCATCTGCAAATAAGGGTCCATACAGACTAGGGCTTAAAACTGGCACCTTTAATGGGTGGATTTCCAAATGCCATCTAAATGTGGATGAGTAATTCCCCCTAATTTCCAGGCAGAGGAGAGGAAAGCAAGGCTACTTGTCTCACACTGGACATCCAAAACTATCATGAAAAAAAAAATTGTTGAGAGAAAGGGAGGTATATCTGCCAGAAGACCAAGTACTTGCATATTCTTCTCTATATCTGGTTTCATAGGCAGTAGAGTGCTACTTAACCCTCTTTCCTCCAATGTTTTCATATATTTCAGGGAAACACGCTGATGATTATTAAGAGGATTGCGATATCAGTGTAGAATTCTCTGGGCAGTTGTTACCTTACATGATGTTAACTGAAAATGGGAGCTCACTTAAGTGAGATGGAGTATATGTATACATTACTGGAAGCCTCTGCTTGCTAGTTTCTGTTTTTTTCCAACCCATCAAAGACAAGTTTAGGAAGGTGTGAGGAAAACGAACAGAACACTGCTGTATTGAGGTTTCTTTTAAAAAGATTTTATAGAGAAACTGGCTTGAGAAAAGCCCAAGAGCTGTTCAGGTACAACTTGCTAAATATGACATTCGCTTCACATAATCTCATTATCTGTGAGTTTTCCTTTGTTTTAAATAACTGGAATAGCTGAGGCAAACACACGTCAGCCTTCGGAGAAGCTGTTGCATAGCCAGTGCACTGGTAGTGGCACCGTTGCTAGTTCCTGAGATTTTGTTTGCCTGAAGGAATGTGTCTTCTGATCTTGCTTTAGTCACGAGTAATGCGATGTATTTTTGATGATTCATTGCAAATATGTACCTTACTGCCTCACTCAGACTGTTTTTTCAAAACATGGCATTAAAGAGCTCAAAGTAGTCAAGCAATCCTTACTAGTCCTGGAAATATCCTCTCTACTACTTGGGAATGCATGCAGGGAATACCAGCACAGCTTCTCTAAGCCTGGGAACAAACCCAAACTGCTCTGCACCTGTAACTACCCTTTTTTCATTATTTTTTTTATAATTTTTCTTATCCTTTTTCTATCCCTTGCACACCATCTCAGTGTACTTTTTTAGACTTGGTGATATTTATGGCAAATTATACAACCTGGAGAATAACATTACGAACTGGCAGTCTGTGATATGAAGCCACATGTTGCCAAAATGAACAGCAGTAGTGGTAATCAGTGTATGAGAATGTAGTAAGATATAGCGCTAGGGGCACTTGGTCAACATACTCACTGTGTAGCTACATAATCTTGAGAACGCTTGCAGTTCTCAGTTTGGTTTTGGTGCGGTTTGGTGAAGATGCCTTTTCTGTGTGTTTCTCTCTGCATGTTTCTGTGGGTTTGTGTATGTCTTGCATATGAGTGTTTTCTGTGATTTTTATGCGCTTGTTTGTGTGAATCTGTGTATAGGAAGGCATGTGCTTATGTGTTATCCTGTGATACATGTGGCCTAATACAAAAGTCACTGTAGACAAACTTATTTAAAGCATGGCTAATAAACACGGTTCACCTCACTGCTCATAAATGGTCTCAAACAAGATGTTGTGTTAAATCAGGGAGAGAAGACATTGGATAAATCCACTGCTCTCCTTCGCACTTTTTGTTCATGGTTTGCCTGTCTGTACCAAAATGTTTGGCTAGAAACAAGGAAATAGGCAATACGTGATACAGAACTGGAAGAACTATTTTAAAATAGGGACCTAAGAGGAATTAAGGCTATATAGTTAGAGAAAGAAAATACAAAAGGATATAACAAAAACCAAAAGTATATCTGGAAAAAGAAAAAAGTACATCTTATTCAAATAATATTTTTCATAAAATGTTATTAACCTATAGAACTCATTGCTATATGGCATCAGTGAGATTAAAAGACATTGTGTCTTCAATATTTCACGATTTTAAGAGAGAATATTGCACAGAAGACCTTTCCTAAAGCACAGAAACTTTCCTTGCATTAAGGTGGAAGCCAACCACTAACTTACAGGACACCAGATGAAATTTCCTATAAAGCTGCCTTTCTCATGGTCCTGATCTGGATTTCTTGCAAGTTTTATCTTATGAATCAGCTTCGGCTGAGAATGAATCCTGCTCATCAGACCACGGGTGCAATGTGGAGCAATTCCCATCTTCCTCTTGGATTGTAAACTTACCTTTCACCATGTGCTCAGTGAAGACGCCAAGCCAGAAGATGACGAGGATAGCTGCAGTGTGGAGTTTCATTGCTGGTGGCTTCTTTGGCATGGCAGAGAAGAAAGTGGCTGTTGTCAGTCCTCCTTCACAGAGTTTATATATTGTCATTCAGTGGTCAGTTCTTGTGTTCACTTTTGGGGCGTCATGGGGGGACTGACTATAAGTGGAAAAAACTGAGCGGCAGTACTGTTTTCTGGTGACAGAAAACCACCTCCTTTCCCCCACCCATCCTTCACTAGCCCCCCTGTGAAGGCTTTTCCTGCTCAAACCCTGTTGTGGTTGCACTTGCTTCTGTGTAGTGAGTAGGGTTTATTTCAAGCAGCAAGAAGTGAGAGCTCTTGCTCTGTAGTGGAAACCTTTAATAAATGCTCCTGTCCTCTCACACCTCAATTTAGAGAGCCACAACTAAGCCACACTGCAGAGGTAGAGAGTAACATTCAGAATTACCTCTCTGACCAGTGGACCACCTGAAAGGGGAACTGTGAGCTAAAGGATGATGGAAACAGGAATGCCTTGGCTTTTTCCATAGTGACTGTAGATAGTTGGTCATTTTAACATGTAGCTTTGGAGGGGCATTGTTCCTATTTCCTATGTGTGGTGGAGCTTGTCAAAACTCTTCTTGTTTTCTCTGTGATTTGATATGGCCAAAGCTGATATCACTATGTGCTGGGAGAAGGAAGAGTGAATGCACTTGTACATACAGAGCCAGATCCACTAGCCCTTCAGCTAGTCAGGCATAACATATAATATGGTGATTTCAAAGAGGAATAAGTTTATAAAGTTTTTTGGCTTCGAGTGTGGGCTTTTTGGCTTTTTTTGTGTGGTGTGGTCTTTCTAGTACAAAGAATGGACCCCAAGAAAGTAACCAGACAGAGAGGCACAATTTACAGGAAAGAAAAGTTTATTGCACTTCCGTGTAAACATGGTGTTGATAACAGGTCTGTCATCTTGCTCCAATTGAACCTCTATTACAATTGCCCTTTTTTTCAGTCTGTGCTAGTCCTATTACCCAGTTTTAGGTGGCCTTTCTATGTTGTGATAAGGTGGTCTGAGTTATGGGACACTGTGGCTACATGCTAGTGGTTTTGGGCCTGCAAATATTTTTTGAGCAAGCTGTGGACCTCCAGGCCACACACAAAGCAACACCTGAGCTGGCATCATCATCTGGAGCCTCTGAGCAGAAATCTCTCATGCTTTACACCTGGGAGCGCTTCTGTGCTCAATAGAAAGAGCCGTGATTTGCTAGGCTTGTGGAGACCCAGGCAGGCTTGGTGTGAAGAACAGGTAAGCGCCAGGCAGCCTGATGCCTGAGGTTGTAAGGCAGTGCTGTAGAACAGCTGTCAGTGCAAAGCCTGGAGCAAGAGTCCATTCATGCCAGCCTGAAGATTCCCCTGCTCTTACCTCCAGTTCTCGCCTCAGCTGGTTACTTCCTTTTCCAAATTTTTGATAACATCAATGTAAACAGCTTTGTATGGGAAAACACAACATGTGGAAGTTCATTCCCTAAGATTCCTCAGGCAAGTTAAGTTCAGGCTAAGAACTGAGCTCAAATACTTGACTCCTAGACTGTAACAGCTGGTCTGTAACCCCAGGAACAGTCTGTAGGTCTTGCAGGTACAGAACACACTGCTTGGTTTACTGGTATATACATGCACATTCTTTGTTCCTGTTGGTTTGATTCTTTCCCCTTACATATACCATGCAGCCCAGGGAAAAGCTATGGCAAAAGTAGACAGTAAGCTAGTGTAAGGTACTTTAAGGTACTTGCTGATTTACTTGAATGTCTGCTAAGCCCACCTGCAGCACTAATGAAATTGCAATGCAATGGAAGCCAAAGCTTTAACCAAAGCCCCTAAATGACATGCCTGATGCCACACAGGGGAATAACCATACTGACCTCAGCAGCACTACTGGGAAATCTATATTAGGTTTGTGTCCAAGCAGTGTAGCAGCCTGGTGTTTTGCTGAACACTGCCTGAAATTGCTCCTTGAATGAGATATTCTAACTTTTTGGTGTGTGTCAGCTTCAAGATGCAAGATAGCAGCTTTGTCGGTAATGGTAGAGAGGTTTTTCCCCATTAAGAGACAAGATGCTCCCCCACTTCTGCTCACTGATATTGTAGGTACCTGTATGTATATACTCACTGTCTACAGCTTTGAGAGGAGGGTCACCAGCTGTATGGAGCATGAGCCAGCTCAGAAAAAAGTCAGTCCTTCCTACAGAAGCTTCTGCAGGTTGTAAATTTATCCCTGAAGTGTTGTTAGAAATCCTGTTCCTTCTTCAGTTTTCCACCATTCTTATGGTAGGATGGAAGAATTGCCCTGTGGCAAGCTTACCCCTCTTTGTAGTTCTCATTTGATGTGGCCTCCTGGACTATTGTTCTGTGTGGCTGGCTTATGTTCAGTGAAGTTTTGGAGGTGAGCTTAGTGGGCTGGAGTCCCACAGCCCTGTCTGTGGATGTTTGATTTCTGATATTCTGATTTTGTATAAAAGGCTCATTCTGCACGTAGTCCACCAGTGTGCACTGCCTGTGTGCTGTGGCAAAAGCTTGGTGCAAGATGATTGGATGTATAGCCTTTCTGTTTTCTTGCTGGTAAGTCGTATTAAAAAGGCAGCCAATAAGTGCCCAGATTACTTTGCCTATTACTGCTGCTCAGCTCTGGATAAGTTGAATGCTAATGATACTTGTCCTGGGGCTTGACTACCTCATGTATGGCTTACTCATCACAGGCTGCTTTCAAAGCATTCTGGATTGAAATGATCATTTTCAGACTGATACATCCACAGACTAAATGAACAGTATGATTATGGAGTTCTCTGATAGTCTGTGAAGTCTGAATTGTGGATAAAGATGACTAACTGTACCACAGTGCTTACCAAACCCTTGGCTACAGGTATGATGTTGTGTGAGCCATGGGAGCTGCCCCTTCTCCTCCCCTCCGCATCTCAGGTTTAACATGAGTGCTATTTGCTGAGAGAAGGCAGGTGCAGAGAGTGGATACTGCAGGTATGGATGTGTAGATGTACTGGTATTTAATCTTTGGAGCCTGCTTACATACAGCAAACCACAGGCTTTGAGTTAGTCTCCTAGGCTTCTTATATGATGTGAGGAGAGGCTGGAACACAGGACAATGACAGCAAGAGTTCAAGGGCTCTCCCAAGCTCCTCAGCCCCTGTTCACACAGAGCAGCTTGCCTCTAATTTTACCAATTACAGCAGCTGGGGCACAGGAGGTGAAGGGACATGTGAAACTACTCAGGCACAGCAGGAGTCAAAATCAGGGCCTGCTCTAAGCACAGCTCCTAACCAACTGCTGAATGCAATAGTTTTCTTTATTTTTAACGAGGTCAAGAAATTTTTACTGAAACAATTGTTGTATATACCCTGTTTTATGTCAGCAACCCTGCTGATGAAAAATAAATATGCAGTGACCAGAGTGTTGGGCCGAATATCGGAGTTTAGTTACCAGGGTAAAGAGTCTGAAGTATTGCATCTGCTCATACTGTAGTTAGATTTCAAAAAAGAGGTCTTCACAGGTATGTAAATTCTTATGGACTCCTAGAAATGAGCATCATTAGTGAATGTGCAGCAGCCCCCTTGAACATGAAGATGTGCAAGAAGGTCACTATGACTTTTGAAGAATAAATCAGGGCATTCAGTGACTTTGAGGTCACTTCAGCTCAGACACATCCGTATCTCAAAACTCTTTTTAAAAGAGTGGAAGATGTCACCCTCAGGAGATACATGTCAAGCAATGTATGCATGTGTCTTATGCTGTATGTGGTGTGTGAAGTTAGGTGGGATCAATCTCACCCTAATGTATTTTGGTTTTCAACTGTTAACACTTGGAATACTGGTTTAGTCAAGTGACATCCAGCTGTGATATTTCAAGGACTTTCCTTCCCTGCTTCTTCCTTTGCTTTTGATCACCTTTGCTCTGTAGATTTTGTGCTGATTTCATAGGTACCTCAAATAGCAGTTTATGTTCAGGCTTCTTCATTCATATTGTAATGGAGTAGAAACAAACACGTGCTCCATGCACAAATCTCAGCTGAGAGACAATGACTTTTAATCTAATTTGATAATTGAAATCACATGTTTAACTACTGTTTTGTGCTGGTTTTGGCAGAGCTCCTCCTTTAGAAATGTAACCCTATTAACAATACTTTCTCTTAATCATAATAGAATTTTTGCTTGTAGACCATCTGTTTCCACTGCCATACTGCCAGCTTTTCCCTGCCAGCTTTTCCCTGGTCCTACTAACATGCTTCTCTTGATGTATCATGTGCCCTTGAATAAGTTAGTCATATCAAAATCTTCCCTTCAGTCATCCAACTTGAAGCATTCAGATAGGTAGAATTAGACTGAGAATGATTTGGTTTGAAAGGAGCTTGAACCAAACATGTAAAGGCTACTCTACACTCTGTAGTCAAGCCTACAGTCAGCTCTATGCAGGCATTCACCTGGTTTGTTGATGTTCTAAGGTGACTAAACCTGAATGTGTCATTCTCCACATAGTAGAGGTTCTCAGCCTTTTCTTATTCAGTGTTTTAAGTTTTGTTGTTTTTCAAATGAGCAGTTATACAGCCACCCAAGAGTTTCCAAGAGGAAGGCTCTAATCCTCACCTTTATAATCTTAGCCTTGTGTGTTTTGGTTCTTTGAGATGCATACCAGGAAGCTAACTAAACACCATGCAATGCTACTGCTGCAGAGGATCACAGAGGTGACTATGGCTCAATTCTGTGAAGGTATCTAAATATTGTGTGTGCTGAAACAGGAGCCAAATACCTTTGGGAATTTGTGGAATATTCTCAGTCCATCCTATGCTTTTTTCTTTGTTTTATTTTGGATTTTTTTGTTCTTTTTCTGCTTTCTCTTCCTCAGCTCTCATGTAAAACAGAATGAAGATTTTGTTGAGCACTTCTTCCTGTGCGTGCCATATCTCTAGGATCAGGGATGTGGGAACCAAGTCTAATTCTGTTGGTCTTCAGGAGAAGAATCAAACCTATTGTGTAAAAAATAGACTACTTGGTTAACCATAGATAGTCAGTGTCGATAAACACTGGAGGTGGATCTGAACCAGTGTGTTGCTTCTGGGTAAATCTG